GCCAGATTTTCTCAGCTTTGCTCGGCTCGTAGCTGGCAGCAGGCAGGGATGGCACCTCTCACGTCCTTCTTCAAGACTTGGCAGAGCCTATCTTTTTCGATGGCACCCATCTCCTTCGCTTGAGTCAATAGACGTCCATGTTTTTGTGGTAGGGATACTCCGATCGGGGGTACTTGCACAATCATCCAAATTGTAAGTGGTTACTGGGCTTATAACCCAGTCATGGGATAATGCACGATTTTTTCGGGGACTTGCTCAACGGAGTTCTCTCAACCAGGATTTTCCGCAATTCTTGGGTTCAACATGTTGAAGCCACATGTTTTCACATGGTGAGATTTATGTCGCCCATCTTCCCGTCCCCCAAAGAGCTGATGGGCCATGACCAAAAACAAAGGAGAATTGAGCAGTGTTCAAAACCCCTGGCAGGGTTGATTATTAGTTCGGGGATTGTACTACCCTTTTATATATCTTTATATACTGGTGATTATAACAATCCAAGAACGGGGAATCCCGTTCTTAACCAATCACTGGCTTCAGAACATCTATCTTGCAGCAACTCTTCAAAAGGGACTTCCCCACTTGCCGCAGCCCTAGGCAGCTGTCAATCAATCCGTTTTGGCATCTCCAGCATGAGCATGTTGCACAAACAGCCTGATCACATATATGTCCCCCACTTCATTTTATCAAAGTTTTGCAAAACCCTTCGCATCTTCAAGACAATGCTAACTAGAGGGGCCAACACAATTAAATCATAATAAATAGATGTGGGATTTCATTTGAGCCATGTTCACAGAGAATTTGAGCCGTTTTAGATCATATGCATACGGTTACATATACAAAATTCAAAGATGTGAACCATAAATCGTGAGCCTGGTAGGATCCTGAATCTGCTCCATCCCGCTAGCATCTAGATCGATTGCCACCATCACATGCCCATGTTCTTCGCTGATGAAAAATGGGAGATACCGTGAGATACCCCAAAAATGGCTCGAATCCCAGAAAGCACCGCGTGCCAACGCGCATCGCTGTATCATCTATGTTTGGTGGTTGAGTGCAGAAGCGGAAGCTCTGATGGTAGGGAGTTGTACTGATAAGAACAGATACTACACTCACCAGTCAATAGCCGCAAGGCTCACGCACTATTTTCCATCGCACCGCTTCGAATGATTTCAGCCACGAAGTGGCTCAAAGGGCCCCTCAACCATAACGGCATCAGATATGTATACAAGGTTGGACATGTGACCAAGCTGGAAGGTTGGAACCAACATGGGAAAATTCACGCCCTCTGCCGGCGATGATTGAGGGTTCATACTTTCGGATAGTGCATAGGGAAGCCTACTACGTCATCCTATTTCTTAAATCTTCGGTGGAAGGAAGTGGCGGACTCGGTTCCCGTCCATCCAATCCTTTGCAAGAACCTGGCTAGATCCTTACCCGGTGTCATCTTATCAGGTGGGTGATCCTTTCCTTGAACATAGCCAAAACGGCCCTTGATCCACGAAAGATACTGCTTGCAGTCTGAATCGGTCTTGGCCTTGAACACAAGCTCATAGTAGCTCAGCCCGGCCGTCTGGTACTTCTCTGTTTCACAGATGCACTCTCCCCATTTGTGGACACTGGCAATGTCGGAAGGGATGGGAATCTTCACATCTTCCTGGATTTCTTTCATCACCTGAAGCAATGGATTGCTTCCATCAGTCCACGGCGGAGGAATGTTCACCGTCTCAGGCATCGATGCAATGTAAGATGCATCGCTCAGGCTCTCACCATTCTCAGTCACATTCTCCCAAGACAAGGTGTCATCAGGGACTCGACGCTTCGAGGCATCATTCATGGACGTAGATGGCATAGACATTGGATCCTGATATCCTGAGGGACGGGCTGCATCCATCACATGATAGCACCCAGCCCAAAACGGCTTGGCTCCAGGAGCTTCTTTGATAAAACCAAGGACATGCTGCGCCTGACCATGCTTCACGGCACGGAGGAGCAACGATGCAGCTCGAGGAATCTCATCAGCGTTCAACGGCTGATCACTGAATGTCTCCTTTCAAGGCATCTTGCTGACAGACATGGCACAAGTAGAATGCGGAGGCAAGTCACAATCCTATATGGGAAAATCGGCAAAAACACAAGTCAAGCTTGGAAGCGGCTGCACTGGTGGTCGGACGTCCGCTCTGGCAAAACTGTTGACTCATGTGGTGACTGTGCGACACATATCTATACACTATTTAATTAAAAACAGACTACACTGGGTACCCCAGCGAGTCAGACAATTTTGGATTACTCAGGAGGCCTAATGCATCACTTAGTGAGTTTTCTTATACATCCTAAGGTAACCCAACATGGTGTCATGTTGATGTCTTTTGCATCTTTGTGGCATGCATGGCTGGACTCCTGGTCACGGTGGCTGACCGCTGGCTTCTTGGTTTTTCCGCGCTGTTTCCTTGCGTCCTGATTCAAGACAAACCTTGATTTGATACGTGCCTCCTTCAAGTATTTCGAAAAGAGGTCTCACATCTCCCTTGAGTTTGGTCAGGACGTCTGCTGCCATCCTGAGGTTGTTTACCCAAAAGGCTATGATGTGTTGTTTTTCCATGGTCTCTCGTGCAATGGCGTAATCAATCATCAAGCGTCTTTCAGCAGAAATGGAAGAAGAGCAACAGCTACGGGTTACAGCGTCATAGAAACCCTTGCTATCAACCACAAGGCATGATGGAACTTTTGGTGTGGTTTTTCGGAATTCGGCTGGTGACATTCCATACAGTGTTTCACTTAGCAAAGCTTGAAACGATTCGATGGCATCAAGACCGTTTTGACTGGACAGTGTCTCAGCGGCTACTGAGCTTCTCACCATTCTTTTTAGTTTCTTACTGGCCCAATCTACAATCCAACATGGTGCCCTTTTACGCTCCAAGATATCTTTATGTGCTAAGCATAGGATATACCCTCCTTGACTCTCCCCACTGCTGCGCGTTCCCCATCCTGCATCAGCTATGCAAATTATGCGCCATTTGTCAATTGGGACATTGCTTGGAAAACGCAAACAGACCTTACGTTCTTTCATTTCCCTCAAGGCTTTATTGTATTGTTGAACGTGGGAAACACAACCCTTGTCCTGAACTCCTTGGAGATATGAGGAAAGAAAACTTTGATCGGGTCTGGTGGCTGTACTAACCCAAGCAAGTTGACCAGCACACGTACGCAAGATTCCAGGGTCTTGCAAACTCGTTCCAGCTGACCCAAGATGTTTTGTGGCAACAGGCTCCAGTGCATCTATGGCCAATCTCGATACTGAAGTTTTCGGGGTTTTGTCGGATCTCTATCCCTGTATATCTTATGGTGAACGTCCTAGAATCCCCAAATGGCAACTTTTTGCGGAGTTTCTGCAAGACTTCATCCATTTCGGGTTCCCCTCCTCCCAGCAAGTCATCTACGTGAACACCACAAATCCCCTTTAGTTCCCCATTTCTTCGAAGGGTGAATAAACAAGGATCGAGGCTTGACCGGACTAAACCTGCTTCTGTCATTTCGCGGGACAGACGGAGAAACCAGGCTCTGGGGGCCTCAGCTAACCCATAGGCTGCTTTTTCTAGTCTATACAAATCCTCATCACCTAGGGACATCCACTGCTGAATTTCCTTTGGGGGTTTAAAGTACAACTCTCTAGTTGAGGCATCACCGCTAAGAAAGGCTGTTTTGATATCAGCGCCCCATAGTTTCCACTTTTTGGATGAACAAATGGATAACACCAAACTCTTTGATTCCTTTCTAAGTGTTGGGGAATCTGTGGCTATCTTACCCAACATTGGATCCTGCCAACCAACAAGAACAAGGCGTGCTTTTGGGGTCTTAGTTCTGTCATCGGGATCACACCTTTTCTTCCAAACTAGTACCCATCTCGCTTTTATCACCTTGGCTGGATCTATCCCCCTACTTTTCACTAGGGACATCACCTTATTTTCAACCCATGATTGCCATTCTTTTTGCATGGCTTTTTCAAACAGCTTTTTGTCTGGTTCGCTAAGTTTTCGCATGGAAACTTCTACCCTACGTTTTTGTGCTTTTGTGGGGGCTGCAACCAAACATTCATCTAAAACTGTCCATAAACACAAGGGATTTTCGGTGATATCTTCGGGGTGAATATCCAGTGATACTTCTAGCACATCAAGTGTTGGTACTTTTACATTCCCATGTTCAGCTATCAACCCTTCGTCATCGCTTTCGATGTGTGGTGGTGGACCATTTTCTTCGGCTGCTGGTCCTGCTGCTGTTTCTGGTGCTGGTGACACATTATCTTCTTGGGGTTGATCGGGATTAGGACTAATTTCAGGTGGATTATCTTCAGGGTCTAAAGATTCATGGGGGATTACTTGGCTGTCGGCACTGGGATCTGCTGGCAGTGCCTGGTCTGGCATTTCATCATCCAGTACGGATGGTGCTATGGACGGCTCATAAGAAACACTCGCGGCTCTCTCCTCTTGAGGCTGCTCTGGCACTGTCTTGAGACGCTTGGATGATGGCTGCTCAAGCGAAACCAGTGGTGGGGCATCACCTTCATGAAGTGTTCCTAATGGTGGCATGCCGGATGCACGTTTCTGCCAGTAACTGGATGACCTAGTAATCCTCATTTGGACCCTTCTGATCTGATCTTCGCCCTCTATGCTACGCTTCTCTCCTTTTCTTTGGGGGTTCCTGTCATCATCATCTAGATCTGATTGAAGTTCCATGTCATCCTCAGTGGGTTTTTCATCAATCATATCTTTATAACTCCCCGCATAACCGGAAACAGATTGCTCAGCTTTGATCACATCAGGGTGCAATCTCCCCTCAGCTAGATCTTTAGCTAATTCCCGGAATTCAGCTTCATCATCAGGAACAGGGCGAAGTGCTTCAGGGGAATACCGGTAAATGAAACCATTGTAAACAATCCAAGCAACTCGAGGAATGAAATGGTTGGTGGAACTTTCAACTCCAACTATTCTACCCGGACCATGCCATACCCCATAACGAGTCTTGAAACTACCACGGCCATGTTTGCGGAACATGTAAACAAGTTGACCTACCTGGTATGGACCTCTCAGTGGACGGTTCCTACCGGCACATGCTCTTCTCCATGATTCCTTGGCATGTTCAGCAATAAATGCCCGAGCAGCTTCTTCTCGGAGTTGGATCTTTGCAGCAAACGATGGATCACTCAAAACCTGAGATTGGACCGGATAATTCTGTTGCTCGGAGACATCGCCTAGCCAACCTGCTATCTTCGGATCATGACCTAGGAACCATTGACATGGGGAATATCCACATTTTCTCAACAGTTGATTTCTCATGGACGAACAAGCTTCAATGATCTCCTTTGGCGGTCTTGACGATGATCTCCAAACGCGCTGAGCCATTCCACGTAAAACTCTATTCGCAACTTCAAGTCTTCCCAGCTGCCAATGGGACTCGGTTGCACAGTGCAACAGCTGGATGTTGTGGTGGTTTAAGTAAGCTTGAAAGTCCTTAGAGAGTGTCATATAGGCTGGATCCATGTACACGGTTTCGGGTGCACCATATGGTCTAATCCAGGCTTCATGGAAGGCTTGAGACAAGGCACCGGCTCCTTCAGGAATGACCACTTGCTGACAAAAATCGGTGGCCATGCAAACACAGGTCAAAACGTTGAACTTCTGCTCCTCCTGCTCTCCGTTCTCATCATCACGAATCAGTTCTACTTGGACAAAATCAAGACCTACCATTTTGTTGGGTTGTTCAACATGTGGCATGGTGACCTTCCGGTTTATGGCAGGAGGTTTCAACTCCTCACAAACGGAGCACTTGAAGTTCTTTATGGCCTGCTTCACTTGCTCGGATGCAGCACAACGATTGGCGAGGCGCATCATCTGGCCATTGGTTGAATGACCGGTATTTACATGCAGTTTGGCAACTATGGCGTTTGCTCTATTGGCTCGGATGATGTTTTTGGCATCTAGTGGAGAACCCCTTGACCCATTAGGCTTATCCCCATTATCATCATCATCATCATCATTCAACTCTTCTAGGTCAGGTGCTTCCACTCGGCATTCGGACTCGGCTGCAAACAGTTCTTCAAACCATGGTTGATCGGCTGGAACGCTGGCTTCACGATGCATTGCGGCTGCAACAACTCTGCAAAACTTTTTGGGATATGTCTCGGCCCATGCCGATAGGTTTTTACCCTTGTACTTACCCTCCAAATGACCATGGTCGTGATTACGGTCACATCTATATTTTTGGAGTTCTCTGGCAAGCTCGGGGGAGGTAGTGACTATTCGGGTTGGTTTATACACAGGCTTATTAGTCTTGGGACATCTAAGACCTAATGCACATTGATCAATTCGGATGTCATACACCTCACCTACCAAATGGAGTTCTTTCCAGGCATCAGAGCTGAGTGGATTCTCACAGTGATTGTAACCCTTCAACAGGTTTTGCAGATTCCATGCTTCAGCAACAACATGAAGGTGTCTCAAGTTCTGAGACCTTCGGCTCATGATTTCCGAGCGCATTTGGTCGCTTCGGGCCATGTTGAATCGGCTCCAAGGACCCCAGTCGCTGCAAGGCCAACTGTACCAGACATTTTTGGGTCTGGTCCATGCAATCAAGCACAACAAAAGCTGACGATCCCCCAAACGGTTCAAATCATGTCCATGGGCTTGGCCAATTCGGATGGCTTCATGCTTAGACAACAATTCAACAGTCTTACTTAAGGGAGCAACATCGGTGAAAACTTCTATCAAGTCAACCCTTTTTGACAACTTATGTGCTTGAGGACCTAACCACTGTTTCAAATCACGTTCCACTACATCCGGTTCACTAAGAACACGAGAGAGGAGCATTTGGACGCTGGTTTTCTTCAAGGATTGGATGCATGACCTGATGAGATTGGCACTTTCTGGGTTTATCTTATTGGTGTCAGGCTCTACCCAGTCTACTTCTTCATATAGGGCTTCTATGCTTATCCCATCAGATTTATTAGGGTTATCCCCGCCCTCCAAATCACAATCATTGCAGCACCAGCATAAATGTTCCTCAGTGGTTTTTGGAACATGGTCAGCGGTTGGATTCCTATAGGCAAACAAGGCTAGATTGGTCGGTGTGACTCCTTTGCGTTCAGGGCCGGATTCACGCAGGGCCCATGGGCTTTGATGGAATTGGCCATCATTAGAAAGGGTCACAATTGCTCTTAACCAAGTTTCAGTGGCTGCACTATAGGGAATTCTCTCCAAACGGGGTCTATATGCAACATAAGCATGTTTGATCTCATGGCTATCTTCTCCAAAGACTATCTTGAGGCTGTTAACTTGCGCTGTTGTCAGGGGAACTTCTGAAATAAGCGTTTCACAGCGTCTCTAGACTCCAGGGGTGACACCAAATATGGAATGCATTCCATGTGAAAACAAAGGGGTTTCCACCCGAGCATTTTTTCAGCCGCTGAGTAGCAATTCCGTGCTGATTGAGAAGACCGCATGCCCTGCCGACCGTGTAATTTGACCAAATTGGATACCAACCTGGTTTGGGCACAAAGATGATGGATGAGATATCCGGGCAAGGCATGTGGCCAAAACAGAGGGCGCCATCCGTCTTCCATGGATGTCTAAACCCCTTGTTATACACCTTAAAGCAATGGGAATATTCATATTTATCCATACCTTACTTTACCAAATCATTTTTTTAACGCCGGCGCCTACTGCCTAAGCTGGCACTCAGTCATCCCAGATCTCGACAATCTCGATTTCACTGTGGGCAGCGCTGAGCCATCCGCTAGATACCTTGGCTCGGATAACTGCCAAACAGTTTTGGGTCTGAGACTAGTCTGGATGAGTTAACGGTTAACGGTGGTGTTTGCCGCATGGCCGTGACACAAGCTCTTTTCAACAGGAGTAAACCGCCCCCAGACCCAAGATTAAATTGATCAAACTTCAACTAATGATTGGCTAATGACTAATGTGATGTGCCGTGCCCGTAAAAGCATGCGTTTCTCTCTCTTTCTATATATATATATATTATATTTTTATGTACAGTTTTGGTTTATAGATAATGTATACATATAATTTACTATTGTATGTTTTTTTTCTCCGGTCTGCGTCTGTGTTGCTGCTACAGCAGGTAAAATCTAAAAGCTGCCCTTTGGCAAGCTATGGCAGTGTGTCCTGTTGGCAATCATGCCTCGCCGTATGCTTCTGGTGGTGCTTTGCGGATTGTGTCCAGCAGCGCCGGGCACACCCGACAGTTGCGCACTTGCGTGCGGGGTGACATTTGCTGGACTGCACTTTGGCAGTCCATGTGTTCTGTTGGCACTCATGCCTCACCGCCCTTGAAGCAGCCAGCCCTGCTTTAACCATGGGAAAAAGAAAAGATCTCGTAATTTCCCCTGGTAACCTTTGTCAATGCGCATTGCATTTTGTAGAAACAAACACGTGCACTAACATTTTGTAGAGCCATGTAGAGCCTACCGGGCCCTCCAGAAGAGCCCGAAAAGAAACGAAAAAACTAGGCAGAGACTTTAAATAGAAGAAACATGTGGGTCAAATTGTGTTTCAAAACCAGTCGTGTGAAATTCAAGCTGTAAGTCTAACATTAGAATGCTGCTTAGCCTGCTCCATAGCTCTGACCAGTCGCGGTAAACAATCTCTGAGCCAAGCTTTTGTCTGAACTGTTTTTGGCGAATGCAATCCAAGCGTGTCCGGTTCTACTAGGTTCGTGCTCTTTTTGTCCAACACAAGTTCAAATCCATGCTCAGAGTTCCTTTTCACCACAAAGCTGAAATCCAATGTGTGGTTGGTATTTTGCATGGGCGATTCTTGTAACCACCCTTGAAGCAGCCAGCCCTGCTTTAACCATTGTAGAGCAGGTCTCGTAATTTCCCCTGGCGACCTTTGTCATGCGCATTGCATTTTTTTGTAACAAACACGTGCGCAAACATTTTGTAGAGCCATGTAAAGCCTACTGGGCCCTCCAGAAGAGCCCGGAAAAACAAAAAAAAAGGCAGAGACTTTAAATAGAAGAACAATGTGGGTCAAATTTTGTTTCAAAACCAGTCGTGTGAAATTCAAGCAGAATCCTGCTTGGCTGCTCCATAGCTCTGACCAGTCGCGGTAAAAAATCTCTGAGCCAAGCTTTTGTCTGAACTTTTTTTGGCAATTGCAATCCAAGTATATATGTCCAATTCTTCTAGGTTCTTGGAACCGCCTTTGAAGCAGCCAGGCCTGCCGTAATCATGCTAGAGCAGATCTTATATTCATACTTATATATTTAATTTCTTCTTATATTATATTAGACCCATTGCATCGATCAACGTGATCTCAGACATGTGGGGGGATGATCAGCTAAATGCTGCTACAAAATGCGGCAACCAGGAAAACAGATGTGCAATGACAGCCCAAAGGTGCCCCCCCAAAGGTGCCCTACAAAATGCAAAATCCTGAGGTAAGATCTTCAAGAAACTGGAATCTTGTAAACCACACGGAAGCACTACAAAATGCCAAACCAGGCGCATTTTTTTAAATGAAAAAATGGTTTTGGTACAAAAGTATGGCCCAGTGCCAGGAGGACTTTGGCGTACAATTTTTGGTCCAAACCTGCGTTGTACCAAACCCGGGCTAATGTCTGTCGTAGAGGAAATTCAAACCCCGATATCAAAGAGTCAAAGAGTATCCAAGAATCCGCCGGCCTGCCGGCGTGTCTGATTGGAGTGCTGTTCTTGTTTTTTGTTCTTGGCTTGTACTTGTCTGTTTGTTCTCTTCCTGCACGTTTTTGCTTCGTCTGAATCAAGGTCATACCCCCCTCTCCGCACTTCCAAGTCCAAGTCCAAGTACTACTACTGCTGCTGCTGCTACTACTACCACTACTACTACTACTGCTACTACTCCGGCTTCTCCTACTTCTACTACTACTACTACTACCACTACTACCACTACTACCACTGCACTACCACCACTACCACTCCCACTCCTACTCCTACTCCTACGCCTACTCCGATGCCTACTCCAACTCCTCTACTCCTCTACTCCTCTATACTCATCTACTCCTTCCTCCCTCCTTCCCCAAGTACTACACTGGTAGTGCCGGTAGCTAATGACATTGCCTACAGCACTACCGTCGTCTACAGGTACTCGTCACAGGATGCACACGGTACGGATCGACCAGTACTCATTTGGTATGCGTTCCATTGGCTGTTCAAGAATACTCTGCTTCTGATCTACGGCTCTGTCTTCGTCTCTTCTTCTCTCAGGCTTCCACCTAGCGTGCATGTCAACCTCCCTTGGGGCAATCTCTCTCCCCTGTCTCCTTCCATGGAGCGGTCTGCTGTCAAGCTAGAGGTTCATACATAGTGCCTGGCGCTACTTTGCTGGGGGCGGTACTAATTTGGTATACGGTCAATAGCTTGTTACAGCAAACCTTGCTACACAAGCCGCTTCCGTTTTACGGCTTTGTCTTTTGTGATGATGGGTTACCGGTTTGTCTCCATGAAGGAAAATGGCCCCACCGGACCTGACCCAATTCAAACAATTAAAATTGTTGAATGGGGCCTTGATATTTGTAATGTTTGATGTTCGCAATATTTGCATCTTTTGGAAGTTGGAATCCATGGCTGTAGACTGAAACCAAGACCGACACACCCCAAACTGAAATCAAAAATCAAAAGACCGTTTGAAATTTGAAAGTCTCGCTAAGCAATGAAAACACTGCCGCACCATCACTGCCAAAATGCCACGCGTTGGAGCAGTGTATGCTGCACTGGACCCTGGGTTCCCTGGAGCGAAGAAATATTTCATATTTCATTACATTTCATTTTGTAAATGAACTGTGCACCGTTTAAACCTAGACTGATGGATTTCAATTAAAGCACAACACCCGCTCTAGTAGCCGGAAATCATGCATTGACATTTTCTTTGGTTATCAGCCATCAGCCAAGTCAAAACATTCGCAGATCTCTATGTTGGGTTTTATGCACTGTATACTATATACTATATACTATATACTATATACTATATACTATATACCAGTAGTACCCGCACGAGGCGGGGCAGAAGTGGCCTTAGGGTTATACAATAAAACCTATGTCATCTATAGAACTTGCGCGCGCCGTGCGCCACCCAGGCCCGTGCGTGCGTGCATTGTGCGAACCTGTTGCACTTTTGTTGTCCAAGAACATGACCTGCGCTTGACCACGATGCAATGCAACACCAAGCGGCACTTTGTGCTCCAAAGATCACACTTCACACTTCACACTGCACTCTTGGCACTCCGACTTCGCACTTCACACTTCATCTCATCTTTGGGCCAGAGACCGCGCGGTAGCGCTGTCCGATTTTTGTTTTTCAGGTTTAACGGTTTAGCGTTTAAGGTGTTAGATTTTTTAGATTTTGTTATTATTCAAGTTTCGTTTTTTTGGATTTGGGCCAAAGGCCGCGCGGTAGCGCTGTCCGTTTTTTGTTTTTAAGGTTTCAGGGTTTAGGGTTTAGGGTTTTAGATTTTGTTGCGAAAATATCCCGTCATTTTTTCTAATTATTCAAGTTTCACGTTTGGATTTGTGCATAAGGCCGCGCGGTAGCGCTGCTCGTTTTTTTTTGGGGGGGAGTTTTCGGGTTTAACAGTTTAGCGCAACATAGCACAACTGGTCGTGAAAATGCCCAGGCAAGTGGTAGCTTCCGAACGTTTTCGGTTTTAATTCTGTTGCATTCAGAAAACATCTTGAAGTTGAAGACGCATCAAGTAAAAATTGTGAAGCAAAAAATCCATCCTAATTTTACTGGTGTCAGCCAGTGTCAGCTGTGTCGCCTTCTGCCTTCCAACGAAGAAGGCGAAGAAGGAGAGAATGGCTGAAAATATCCTTCTTAGCCTTCTTCGTTGGCAAAGAAGGTGAAGAAGGAGAAAGCAGCTGAAAATATCCTTCTTCACCTTCTTCGTTGGCAAAGAAGGGTAGGGAAGAAGGCTAAGAAGGAGAAAATTGCAGAACATCTCCTTCTTTGCCTTCTTTGCTGGCGAAACATGAAGAAAGAGAAAGCAGCTAAATAACTGAAAATTATCCTTCTTCACCTTCTTCCTTGGCAAAGAAGGTAGGGAAGTGAGATTTTCGGGACGAAGAAGGCGAAGAAGGAGATTTTCGGGACGAAGAAGGCGAAGAAGGAGATTTTCGGGACGGAGAAGGCGAAGAAGGAGATTTTCAGGACGAAGAAGGCGAAGAAAGAGATTTCCGGGACGAAGAAGGCGAAGAAGGAGATTTTCGGGACGAAGAAGGCGAAGAAGGCGAAGAAGGAGATTTTCGGGACGAAGAAGGCGAAGAAGGACATTTTCGGGACGAAGAAGGCGAAGAAGGAGATTTTCAGGACGAAGAAGGCGAAGAAGGAGATTTTCGGGACGAAGAAGGCGAAGAAGGAGATTTTCGGGACGAAGAAGGCGAAGAAGGAGATTTTCGGGACGAAGAAGGCGAAGAAGGAGATTTTCGGGACGAAGAAGGCGAAGAAGGAGATTTTCGGGACGAAGAAGGCGAAGAAGGAGATTTTCGGGACGAAGAAGGCGAAGAAGGAGATTTTCGGGACGAAGAAGGCGAAGAAGGAGATTTTCGGGACGAAGAAGGCGAAGAAGGAGATTTTCGGGACGAAGAAGGCGAAGAAGGAAATTTTCGGGACGAAGAAGGCGAAGAAGGAGATTTTCGGGACGAAGAAGGCAAAGAAGGAGATTTTCTGGACGAAGAAGGCGAAGAAGGAGATTTTCGGGAAGAAGAAGGCGAAGAAGGAGATTTTTCAGGATGAAGGAAGGCGAAGAAGGAGATTTTCAGGACGCGAAGAAGGCGAAGAAGGGATTTTCGAAGAAGGCGAAGAAAGAAATTTTCGGGACGAAGAAGGCGAAGAAGGAGATTTTCGGGACGAAGGCGAAGAAGGCGAAGAAGGAGATTTTCGGGACGAAGAAGGCGAAGAAGGAGATTTTCGGGACGAAGAAGGCGAAGAAGGAGATTTTCGGGACGAAGAAGGCGAAGAAGGAGATTTTCGGGACGAAGAAGGCGAAGAAGGAGATTTTCGGGACGAAGAAGGCGAAGAAGGAGATTTTCGGGACGAAGAAGGCGAAGAAGGCGAAGAAGGCGAAGAAGGAGATTTTCGGGATGAAGAAGGCGAAGAAGGAGATTTTTGGTAATTTTCTCCTTCTTCGCCTTCTTCGTTTTAGGTAGGGCTGGAACGCTTATTTTCACTAACTTTTTCAAGTTGAAACGCTTATTTTCACCAACTTTTTCATGTCGAAACGCTTATTTTCCACACGAAAAACCACGAAGAAGGCGAAGAAGGAGAAAATGACCCAAAATCTCCTTCTTCGCCTTCTTCGTCCCGAAAATCTCCTTCTTCGCCTTCTTCGTCCCGAAAATCTCCTTCTTCGCCTTCTTCGTCCCGAAAATCTCCTTCTTCGCCTTCTTCGTCCTGAAAATCTCCTTCTTCGCCTTCTTCGCCTTCTTCGTCGCGAAAATCTCCTTCTTCGCCTTCTTCGTCCCGAAAATCTCCTTCTTCGCCTTCTTCGTCCCGAAAATCTCCTTCTTCGCCTTCTTCGCCTTCTTTGTCCCGAAAATCTCCTTCTTCGCCTTCTTCGTCCCGAAAATCTCTTTCTTCGCCTTCTTCGTCCTGAAAATCTCCCTCTTCGCCTTCTTCGTCCTGAAAATCTCCTTCTTCGCCTTCTTCGTCCCGAAAATCTCCTTCTTCGCCTTCTTCGTCCCGAAAATCTCCTTCTTCGCCTTCTGGGTCCCGAAAATCTCCTTCTTCGCCTTCTTCGTCCTGAATATATCCTTCTTCGCCTTCTTCGTCCCGAAAATCTAGCTTCGCCTTCTTCGTCCCGAAATCTCCTTCTTCGCCTTCTTCGTCCTGAAAATCTCCTTCTTCGCCTTCTTGGTGCCATCCTCCACCAATTTTACCCATTGAGATTGAGAAATGATCAACAAGTTTTCAGAACACCAACTTAGACTGACACCTTGGAAAACACAACCATCTTCACCAAACTGTCTTCAACATTGGGGTAATTTCTCACAATTCAAGAACATTTCTGGCCCTCTGGCAATGTTTTTCACTGTGCGCCTCCCAACTTGCTAGCAAAACCAGATTACTGCTACCTTTTCACATTTTTCAACTAAGATTTTGCAACCATACGGTAACATGTGTCAGAAGCAGACTAGACCATCCATTTGTCTGCATTTGCGGCCTCGCCTGTCCCCGCTTGGATTTTTTCCCCGCTTTCCTCACTGACTTTCCTCCTCAACCTCTTTCCCTTCTATTAACTTCAAAACTTCAAATCAAGTAGTTCCATCTGTGCTTTGAACCTGTTAACCATCCAAGGATTCCAGGTTTGCCACCTTTGATACCCTCTCCGTTATCACCTCCTTCAATTTTTCCCTGAATGCCTTTCTTGGTTTTAACGGTAGTCTTCATACCTGGCAGCTTTTGCCTTTCTCAAATCAAGTTATCATCGGTCGGGACAGATAGAAATTAGCCAAATCTCTTTTGCCACCACCTGGGAGCCTGGGGGTACAACATGAACATTTTTTACATCACGAATACAATCTACCATTAAACCATCACCAGGGGCAGGGACATATCCAAATTGCAAGACACAATTTAGAATTTAGACGTTTTTGAGGGAGGGGGGCCTGGTAAATGTCAGCAAACATTTATTTTTCTAACTGCGTTCTATTTGCAAAATTTCATTTTAGTAGGTCCCCTCATTCTTTACGGGATTTCATCTATGTTCTTTATAAAAACGCATGGGGGGCGTTCGACATGTAAGATTGCATTTTTGAAAAAATGCAAGAAATTGAAAAAGATGTAAAATTGTAGTGTGAGGGTCTGCAAATAGCTGCAGAATTGCAGAAAATCAAAAGTGTAAACTAAGAGTTTGTAGGACCCCAGTTGCTTGGTATTTCCAATACATTTTACACTTTTTCTGCACCTTTTCATCATTTCCACATGTAACATAGAGGTATAGAAGGTATATTATTCCTTGCAAATTACTGGAAAATCCTTGAACTTCAAATAAATGTAAAATGAGGTGTTGAAGGTCGTCAAATTTACCTCCTACCTATGGGAGAACAATGGATTGCAGGTGTAACTAAGACGATCATGCAGGTACATAAAGGGTGCTTACCATGGGGACCCCATAAAGTTTCATGAGGTCCATTTGAGGTTCATTTGAGGTCCATTTGAGATCATTTGGGTGCTGAACTTGTGTTTCACAGGTTGTGCAAGGCTTCAAGTTTGTTAATCTTAAATCATGATTTATCATCAGGAATTGTAGGCCTCAGGAGTAGGCTGGTGACATGTTTCTATCTTAATTTTACGTGCTTTTTCGAGCACTTTCTGCAAGGAACTATGGACCTCAGACATAGGTTGATTACACCCCCACAAAGACACCTCACAAACAGTTTACAAACTGCTTGCGGACATTTAACAATTTTTACCTTCCCCCCCTTCCCCCCTAGAGTACGGGGGAAGGGAGCGGGGGCACGGGGTGACGTATCTATTATGGACTTTCGACGCCCCCTCCTCCAAATGTAAATCTTCCGGGGGTCGGTTTTTGACCTGAGGGGGGAGGGGTCTAACATACATATAGGCATCCCCGTCGGGAAAAATACAAAGGGGTCAAAATTGTTGCCTACATTTTTTGAACGTCCCCCATGCTTACACCCCACGAAAAGGGTGGTGATCACTACCCTTTTAAGGGTAGGGGACGTACCCAAATTGCAAGACACAATTTAGATGCTTTTGAGGGAGGGGGGCATGGTGTCATCAAGCATTTATTCTTCTAACTGCGTTCTATTTGCAAAATTTCATTTTAGTAGGCCTCCTCATTCTTTACATGCAAGAAATTGAAAAAGATGTAAAATTGTAGTGTGAGGGTCTGCAAATAGCTGCAGAATTGCAGAAAATAAAAAGTGTAAACTAAGAGTTTGTAGGGCCCCAGTTGCTTGGTATTTCCAATACATTTTACACTTTTTCTGCACCTTTTCATCATTTCCACATGTAACATAGAGGTATAGAAGGTATATTATTCCTTGCAAATTACTGGAAAATCCTTGAACTTCAAATAAATGTAAAATGAGGTGTTGAAGGTCGTCAAATTTACCTCCTACCTATGGGAGAACAATGGATTGCAGGTGTAACTAAGACGATCATGCAGGTACATAAAGGGTGCTTACCATGGGGACCCCATAAAGTTTCATGAGGTCCATTTGAGGTTCATTTGAGGTCCATTTGAGATCATTTGGGTGCTGAACTTGTGTTTCATAGGTTGTGCAAGGCTTCAAGTTTGTTAATCTTAAATCATGATTTATCATCAGGAATTGTAGGCCTCAGGAGTAGGCTGGTGACATGTTTCTATCTTAATTTTACGTGCTTTTTCGAGCACTTTCTGCAAGGAACTATGGACCTCAGACATAGGTTGATTACACCCCCACAAAGACACCTCACAAACAGTTTACAAACTGCTTGCGGACATTTAACAATTTTTACCTTCCCCCCCTTCCTCCCCCCCTATCCGCAGAGTAAGGGGGAGGGGAACGGGGTGACAGATCTATTAGGGACATTCGACCCCCCCTCCTCCAAATGTAAATCTTCCGGGGGTCGGTTTTTGACCGGGGGGGGGTCTAACATACATACAGCCTTCCCCGTCGGGAAAAAATACAAAGGGGTCAAAATTGTTGTTTACATTCTTTGAACGTTCCCCATGCTTACACCCCACGAAAAGGTGCCTTCACTAGCCTTCATTACGAACATTATCCGGCTGTCCAATCCGCACACTTTACCGGAGAGCTCTAGTGACTCTAACTTGCGGATTGATTTCTGGAAACTTGCTTTCTGTCAGTGGATTTTGACTCTGCTTGGACTTGGGCCCTCAAGCCTCAAACAAATGGAGTTGAAGTTTAAGTTCTATTTCCTAGTAATTTTAGGTGGGATTTTGGAAAAAATGAAATTTAGATTGGCCCAGCCCCAAATCACCAAGTGTCCCAAACTCCAAAACTTTCAAAAGGTTGCTTATGCTTCCAAAAAAGGTGCAGCAACGGCGGCAGTAGCAGCGGTACTGAAATATCCAAGTAAAGGCTACAGTGCTACAATGTATGTAGGTATGTAACAAAAACCTGGCAAAAGGAACTAAGACCAAGACTTGTATATGAAGTGAGATGACAGTGATGACAGAAGAACAAAAGTAAAGTAAAAAGAAAACAAAGGTGAAAAGTGAAAAGTAAACTGTAAAGGAAAGCACAGGGGACAGAAAGCAAAGATAAGCAAAGTAAAGTAAAAGTAAGTGAAGTATAGCAAGTAAGGTAGAGTGGAGCAAAGTAGAGTGAAGTAAAGTAGTGCATATTATGAATACCAACAGCCACAGGACCAACAGATTAAACCCAATCAATACCAATACCGCCGAAGCCAATTACCAATTCAAAGAAAATTTTAAGGCAATAATCGACCAGTCAGCTGGCTCAGCGAACTACCATTTGCACAAACTCTCATCCCCCCCGGTCCTCACCCCCCAAAAAACTCCTCCAGGGTCCCCTGGGTCAGTGTCTGCAGGTGTGACATGTTCAGAAATACACTGCGCAGCGCAATGCAGGGTGTAGTGTATGTCCTGTATCCAAATTACAACCATCCATCATCCAACAATCCAAGATTGGGAGAATCAAAAAGTGAAATGCCACTGCCAAAATCTCAGGGGCATGCAATGCAATACACAAACACTAGTCACCAGTATTCACAAATCCGCCCTTTTCACTGTTCTCTCTTTCAATGGGTCGGTGGTGCTCCTTCGATCTTCATGTGCATGATCATGATCTGCCCTCCTCCCTTCAAGTGTGGCTGCGGCTGTGGCTTCTCCGCCGGTTCTGAGCAGTGGATGTCTGATGAGGACAACACCGGGATTCAGGTCCGAAATTGCATGGAGATGTCGACAAGAATGCAAGGGGTCCGGCTCAAGTGATAGTACATTGTAATTGTACAAACTTTTTTCCAAGATGCACCAGATGCGTTTCAAGTTCTTGATGGACTGCGCATGTTGAATCGTAATCCGCCTAGCTGCTTCAGGTTTGTTCAATGTTCCAGGTCTGTTGAACACTCCACAGCACCCCACAGACTTCAGCCAAAAATCTGGAAGGCCAGGCCAAGGCA